CGCAAGAACTCATGGTCACCCGTCTATTTGAGGCGGTGAAACGCTTTGAAGCGAAAGGAGGCAAGATGGCGCCTTTCAAGGCGTGTCGTGAGGCCATCGGATGTGTGCGGTTCGACTACAGTGGAGAACCCGTCCAGTACATGGAGAACCTCATCGCAGAGAAGGTGATTGCTTGTTGGCCGCGGCCTGGCGAGGCGGCGATCCAAGACGCTGTGAAGTTTGTGCCGCCTGAGGTTAGAGAGTGGCTGGAGAATCCATCCTCTTGCCTCCTACCCCAGGCAGCTTGGCCTGAAAAGCCACCGATCAGTCGAGTTCGAGCCGACGACAAGGAGTGGGAAGCTATTGTCCGCGCTGGAGTTGAGCGTGGCATGATGGAACAGGTGCCCGCAGACCGCCTGTTCAGGGATCACAACGGGTTACCCATCCTGAATGGTGCCGGGGCCGTGAAGAAGGTCAAGGTCATTGGGGGAGAGTCCAAGTCCTTGCAACGGTTCATCAGTGTTTTGGTCCCGTCGAACACCTACCAGGTCCACATGCCAGGACATGATGAGCATCTACCTTACTTGGGACAGATGGCAATGCTCGAGATTGACGAAGACGAGGAGGTGCTCATCGACAGCGAAGATCTGACATCTTGTTTTAATTTGTTCAGGTTACCCCAACAATGGGTGGGCTTCAACGCATTTGCCAAGCAGGTGAGCGCGGCCGTCTTTGGAGGGCCAGCCTCCGAGATGGCCTATGTTGGAATGCGGGTGGTCCCCATGGGTTGGATCAACTCGGTGGCGCTGATGCAGACAGTGGTCCGCTCCCTGGTGTTCGGCCTGAGCAAGGTGCCGGAGACGTCGGAAGTCTCGAAGCTGAAGTGGTTCCCTGACGACGACTCGGTGTCTGTGGTGTACCTCGACAGCTATGACGAGGTGCGGAAAGTGAGTGCTGGCTACCGTGAGGTCCTACGGGGGCAGCCTTCGCACCGACACCAACGCTTCGTCAACACCTGCAATGAGTTGGACCTCCCGCTCAACCAGGGCAAGAGACTGGTTGGGGCGGTGCATGGAAGCCTGCAAGGGGGTGACATCGATGGCGAGACAGGGACATTCGAAGCCGCCCACGTGAAGAAGGTCGACATCATGGGCCTTGGTGCAGCCCTGCTGGGAGTAGGAGCGGCGACTGAATTCGAGCTGAGGCACTTTGTGGGCAAGGCTATCTTTGCAATGGCCTTCAGGAGGCCTGCAATGTCATTCCTTGAGAAGGTCTTTGTCGATATGGGCAGGTCTCAGAAAGGCAGAGTCACCCTCTCCAGAGGCACTTTGGATGAGGTGTACATCACTATGGCCGTGATGCCCATCTTGGTGATGAACCTGCGAGCGGTGTTTGACACCGAAGTGGCAATCACAGATGCCAGCACGACCGGTGGCGGTGGAGGAATCGCCAACTGCTTCAAGAGGCCGCCCGACACCATTGTTCATGACAGTGGCAAGTGCCTGGAGTGCGGTCGGGAGCTTGAGCGACCAAGGGTTTACCCCTGTCCGACAGGGTGTGGAGCGGAGCTGTGCAGTCTGGGCTGCATTGAGGCTCACCGCGATGGCGACTGCAAGCGGTGGCGGTATGTCGAGTCATGCCAAAGTTCGGTGAGCGCTTCTCTGGGCCAAACGCCCCTCTGTCCCATGCCGTCGCCAGGGAAGGCGGAATCGAGGTGCAGCCGCCCTATGACCTCCTGAGGGGCGATGACTTCCACACCCAGGAAGGAAAAGAGAAACTTACCTCCTTGGAGAGTGACCCCGCATTGGCCGCTGAACATTGGGCTCCTGAATGCAAACTGTTCTCTAAGGCAAGAGGCCGCCCGGTGACCCTGCCAAGCGGGGAGCACATCGCAGGCCCACAGCCGGTCAGAGATGCCCACCATGTGATGGGGTTCCCTTGGGTGTCACAGCAGATGAAGATTCAGCTGCGGCGCTCCAACAACATGGCACTTAGGGGCCTTCGTCGGGGAGCGAGCACCTTCGGGGCCAGGCGTTACTTGTCCATCGAGCACCCCTACAACAGCTGGCTCTGGTACTTCTCGCTTGCTGAAGAGCTGGCCGAGGGCGAGTTCGAGTACGCTGTGGGCTCGAACTGCTGTTGGGGCGGTGATAGAGAGAAATGGTATGCGCTGCTGCGCTGCTCAACAATTCACCCTGTATTCAGGAGGAGCTGCACCGGCCCGAATGCCCAGGCCATGCTGGCCTGAAAGGGTATGGTGCCACCCGCAACCAAGACGGCTCGTTGCACTTTGCAACAGAAGAAGAGGCCGAGTACAAAGACGCCTGGTGCGCTGCCTACGCCAGGGGATTGAGACGTCAGCTGGCTGACTGGTGCAGCCGTGGATTGCTTGATGGCAGGTGCAAGAACATCCAGAAGGAGTTGGAGAAGTCAACAGACAGGTTGGCACAGCCGGTGACCGCCAACATGGTCGCCAACGAGATCACCGAGCTGGAGCAGGACATGCTGCCGGGCCACGAGAGCATTCACCTGCGCCAGATGGCGCGGCGCCTCAGCATCAGAGGGACTGATCTCAGGCTCTTGCTGGGGGAGGACAACTTGGAGGTGCCGTACCCGGCTTACCGTTGGTACTGGCACGAGGTTTTGAGCTATGCATGGAAAGAGGAGAGAAACATCAACGAAGGTGAGGTGGCGGCGTTCAATGTTATGCTGAAGCGAAGATCCAAGGATCCAGCAAAGCACGAGCTGCGCTATCTGGCTGTGGTGGATAGCCTGGTGACGCGTGGAGCCGTAAGCAAAGGGAGGAGCCCCTCGAAGGCGCTCAACCGATTGCTGAAGCAGACAGCGGCATACGTGCTTGGGTCGGATCAATATCCTCTGACAGCCTGGACGATTTCTCGGTGGAACTTTGCTGATGGCGCGTTGCGCCGCAGACGACCCCAAGATGCCTAGTCACCTGCGGTTTGCAGGGCTTCAGAGGAGGACCTTGAGGGCCTATCGCTTAGCAGTTGACCGTTTCCTCACCTATGTTCGAATTCATTCTCTCCCTCTTCGACGGCAGGCCGATGTGGACCACGCTGTTGGCGAATTCATCAATGCCATGTATCAGGAAGGTGACAGCTTAGCTCAAGCAGGTCACTTGTTGTCGGGCTTGAAGCGTTTTTGCCCGGGAATGAGGCTGGCATTACCAACAGCCAGTCAGTACTTTCGTAACTGGCAAAGAGTTCACCGCCCAGTGCGTGCGATACCCATTAGCTGGGACCTTTTACAGGCAATGGGTGGCATGTGTCTCACCTTAGGCTACCACCGTGTCGCCTTGCTGCTCTACGGGGGCTTTTTCTGTTTTCTGAGGACTTCTGAAATGATGTCCCTACAGTGCATGCATTTGATCCCGGATCGCAGATCGTGTCGCCTGACGGTAATCATACCTTTTGCAAAAACTTCTGAGGGGAATCCTCAGGACCGGTACTGGTCTTTTCAGACCCCCGTGTGCATTCACTTGCTCTCACCGTGCTGCAGGCACGTGCAACACAGGACTTTCTCTGGCCCTCTTCTCCAACACAATTCCGTCAATTTTGGATTCGGCTTATTGAAGCCTGTGGCTTTTCTTCTGATGATTACAGCCCTTACGGAATTCGAAGAGGTGGTGCCACTTGGTACTTTTTGACGACCTCCTCCATGGATGGAACGTTGCAACGAGGACGCTGGTCCTGCGGCAAAACGGCCAGAATGTACATCGATGAGGGCACTTTGGCCCTGGCCCGCTTCCTATGGTCAAATGATCAGAAGAGGCGAGTCAGAAAATGGGCTCTGAAAGGAGCAAAGTTGTGCGACCGTCTCCGACAGAACAAAAGCCTTGGGAGTGAGCATGGGAGTTTCTTGTGTTTTTTTTTTTTTTTTTTTCGGTTTTTGTTGTAGGGTCTCTTTTTCCCGGCTTCCCTTAGGCTTTAACTTGGAAATGGGAGGTTTACTGAACCTGCCAGGTTTGTCTGCCTCTTAAGGCTTGTTTACCTTGATCGAAGGTTTCCTTACTCAGCCCTTTACCACAAATAATTTGTGAGTCTGGTTGACGAAAGGTGGAATTCAAATATTTTCCATATTGTATTTAGTTTGTAAATAGAGGTGACGACCTCCCATTTGTAGCAACCTGAGTTTCCTCAGCCTGAAAATCAGAGTTCTTTGCATGTTAATACCTTGAGTGGGTTGAACGTAGTGATTGACACGATGATTTAACATGCCGTGCTCTGTAGCCTTTCCTCTCACCCTCCACCTTCCCCCTTGTCACCGCCTTGTTAAGCAGGCGCGTTTTTCTAGGGGGTCACCTTGGGAGGTTTACTGAACCTGCCAGGTTTGTCTGCCTCTTAAGGCTTGTTTACCTTGATCGAAGGTTTCCTTACTCAGCCCTTTACCACAAATAATTTGTGAGTCTGGTTGACGAAAGGTGGAATTCAAATATTTTCCATATTGTATTTAGTTTGTAAATAGAGGTGACGACCTCCCATTTGTAGCAACCTGAGTTTCCTCAGCCTGAAAATCAGAGTTCTTTGCATGTTAAAGTAATGTATAATAATGTATATAGTATATATGCATATATATACTATATATTATATAATATACATGTCAGATTGAGAGAAGGATGGATAGATTGGATAGTGATCTGGCGTCAGAGATAGTCAAAGATCGGATCCTGGCCATGCTGCAACCATGGCGAGTGCGTTGGCCTTAAAGCTGTGGCCACAGAAACCACTTCTTTTTAAGGAACAACTGTGGCAGAAATCCCTAAAGGGCAAAGCTGATGCAGTTTCTATAATTTTGTATGTACCCTCTGGTAATTTAACGGTTTGCTATTGAAAATGGCCAGTTATAGATAGATTTTCCCAGCTAGAAACCTCCATTTTTTTGAGGGATTTTCCATGGCTATGTTAGTCATAACCAGATGGTACTGTTTTCCATGGCAGGTGTTGGATGTTTGTGGATGTTTGTGGTGTGGATGGGCCTTCGAAAAAAATTAGGTGTTCCCCATGCACCTGGACAGAGTGGACAGAGCCGTGGATGCCACTGAAGAGCTACATGCGCGAAAGGCTGAAACCAGAAACGCCCGAAACAAAACGTACTGTCATTAAATATATTATAATATATTAAATATATAATAATTGATGATAATTTATAACGATCCAAAAAGATTCAGCCTGATTCAACATCACAAGATTCTATGGCTACCTATATGATACCATATGAATCTATATTATGCTGCACAGTATGCTGCACATTGTGCTGTATAAACTTGGATTCTAGAAGGATGAACTTGGACCAGAGACTTGAGTTGGAATACACACGGCCTTTGCCAATCACATTGATGCAGCTCGGCAGCTGGTGCAGGTAGCTGCCCTTCTCAATTCGCAGAACAGGCGTAGTCGGCGTAGTGTTTCCTTGCGCTTGGTTCTTACTAAAATTTACTACACGTTGACATCACGTTGACCATACACAGTTAATTACGCATGCATCGCATGCTCTTTTGAGCATCGAAACAAAGATGTTAATGTTTGACCATAGTTTTCACCAGGAATGGATAATCCAATGAAGTGAGGCTGCGCTGCGCCAATGCAGCCCTGAAGCATGAAGACTTGACAAGAAAAGAGGCTTCGAATGGCAGAGGCGCTGGAGAATGCAATGGCAGCATCATACCAAAAACATCAAACATGTATGAAGGGATGAGTGTTCGACAATGGTCCGTACCAGGAACGAACAAGTCGTAAATGCATGTAAATGCCAGGTGCTGCATTGGCCCGTGCAGAACGTGAACTGCTTCAACAGGCGCCTGGTTTTCATTGTGCAAATGTGTCCAGAGCTGGGATGGTTGAAATTATCTCACCCAAATAGTTTGTCTCACTTATGGGGCTGCATGTTTTCTTGAGACCGGGAAAGTCAGAAGATGTGATGGACTATGGAAGCAAACAGTAACAAGTAGGTGAAAAGTAGGTGATGTTTAAGTGCATGTTTGGTGGACACTTTCGTGTTCTCTGGTGCCAAGGATGTGGTTCTTCGTGCTTTCTACGACTTCCTAGGGAAGGACGCGGCATGAGAAGTCCCGGCAAGCAAGAGTCAATGGGACTTGTGAGCTTAATTTCGACTTTGTGCAACTACATATAAAACATCATATAACTACTTGCAACGTTTGTAAAAAAAATCTAGCTGCCCTTCTAAGTCGCAGTGGCCAGAGCACGACATACTTGTAAGAAACCATTTGTAGCCTTTCAGCTCAAGACTGCTGAGCATCATAGAAAAATGAAAGGAATTCACGCAAATGTGTCAACACCCACTTTGACCGTCTTCCGTTGAATTGAATACATCCGGAAACTAGGCATGATCTGATCTTTCCCCCCTCGATTTTCACTATGCATTCCATCTGATTGCACATGATTGCACCAGATTGCCATGCAACACTTTATCTTCAGCCATCTTCAGCCATCTTCAGCCATTTTCATGCTTTGGGAGTCTGCTATGTCCGCTATGTCTGCTATGTTACGTCCAGATGACATGCGATGAATGCCAGCGACATCCCCTGCCGGGTGCTATTGAGCCAATGGCAGGTGAAGCAGGTCCGAGCCCTGACCGAGCGATCATCCTTACAGCATCCGATCCCAGAAGATCCATGAAGATCCCTGGGAACATTCGGCATGAGAACACCATGGATGGAACACCTTTCTGGAATATGTCGGAAAAAGAGGTGGTGAACAGATGTGAACAGTCGGAAAACATGTCTCTACTTTGAGCATCTTTGAGCCTTTGCATACAGACACCCTGAGCCTCTGTCACTTCCCAGCGATGTTGAAGTCACTGATAGTCACTGAGATTTCTGAGTCATGGGAGAGAGGTGATCCGATCCTCCAAACTTTCCATTGATTTTCTTTTTTTTTTCATTTTTTTTTTTTGGCATTCTCATCCTTTCTCCTCCGTGAGGTCCTCGGCGACCGTGGCGAGGAGAATCTGAAGCGCCTTCGCATGGCCAGCGGTGCCAATGTGCAGCTTCTCCGAGGAACGGGCGGACATTCGTGCGGATGCGCTCCCAGTCATTGGGTATCATTGGGTATCATTGGGTATGTTATATAGTTGTAATATGTTACAATATGTTACAATATATTTTATATTCGAGTTATGTTTAGTGATTTCAAACTTGGGTATACAGAATATTATGTAAATCCTATTCCATGAATCAATGTATTGCTACATCGGGTAGTGTGCGAGCTACTGGGAGGCGTTCCCAAAATGTTTCTGTGAAAGGACCCCTTCTGCCTGCAGCTTTTCGCGCTCGAGACGAATTCCTGGCTGTGCCTTGGCGTTGCAGTGTTTCAGCCGGAAGAATCATATGACGAATATGTGAATCATGTCTGGTGCGCAAGAATGAATGCCATGAATGCCATGAATGCCATGACAAGGAAAGGCACAGCTTTTGTCATGGAACCAGATCTCCAATGATCTCCAGATGAGGTGTTCTGGGCAGACGATGGTGTGCGGCTGCGCCGCGCCTTGAATGGGTTGCTGGAGCGCGCCTATGCCAAACGCCAGGCCTGTCTTTATCAGACGCAGCCAGGACTTGCACACAGATCACAGAGGACACCGATCATTTTAAGGAACATGATGGACATGATGGACATGCAGTCGGACCTTTGCTTTTGCATGTTCCAAGATGTTCCAAGATGTTCCAAGATGTTCCAAGATGTTCCAAGTCACTCAAGACTGAGCTCAAAAAAGATGAGCTGGTGCCAGGTTGGAGGTCTTCAGCCCAAAGAAGACCAAGAGCCAGAGTCACATGTACTGGAGGCGAGCTGATCAATTATTGCTGAAACAAAATGGAATGTCCTTGTTTTGCGTGAATTTGATTGCTGCAGTCTAACACACAGATACGCACAGTACCTCACAGAAGCTGGGAGATGAATGTACCATAATGTACCTCTTGCATCCTCTTGACATTTTGGTCTAGCTGATCTTAGCTGCTTAGCTTTGGTTGTCTTGGTCAGGTCATGATACCAGAAGTCGCTTGTCGACATCTCATTGGTGCTCGTGGTGACCGCATCAAACTGCTTAGAGAGGAGTCACGTTGCGAGACAGGTCTGCATTAGATTGCATTCGTATGATCGTTGAGTTGATCGTTGTTCTCAAATGTTCTGAACTTTTTTTTTGGTTTGTTTCATCTTTACATCATCTTTACTGTGCTAAAGTGAATGTCACATGGAATCATCTTATTCATTCAATCACCATTCAACCAAGCCAGCTGTGCCTAGCTTCTCGATAAGGATTGCCTAGTCAAGTACTAGATGCGCGATAATCGGTAACCTTGAAGCTCGCCCCTGGGTCCTCTTTTGGACTGCCGCTGCACCAAGGAAATTCACATGTCACCAGGCAATGTCGCTGGGATCGCTGCGCAAAGACGCGTGAAATGCAATGGGCTGGGTACCGAGTCTGATTCGCAGCACGCTGCAACCATTCATGGCATTCATGGCCAAGTGTGTCATGTGCAGACCATGGCATCGATGGCAGACGTGTCGTGCCAAGGCTCATTCCGAGCATAGCTGAAGCTGTGGCAAGGATCCACGAGGTGCCAACTCTTTCGTTCACGTCACCATCTTCACGTATCTTCAACGTCACCAAACGTTGCCGGCAATTCGTGTGGCAATTCGTGCAAGTCGTTGCGCCAGGTGCTTGTGGAATTTGCCGAGATTGGCATCTTGAGTCTACGACACTTTGACCTTCAAGAGGTCTCAACAGGGGCTCCCCAGGAGCCACAAAGATCACAAAGTGTTGTCGGTTTTCCAAGGTCGTTCAATGCGGAAAACCTTACTGAAACAGAATGACCATTTGAAGCCTGTCAAAGACGTGCAGTCTCCAAGTTTTTCATGTTGAGAGGAGTCGAATGAAGGGCCCAAGGAACGCTTGCTTGGACATGGTCTTGCTGGCATTGGACGGCGAGAGGCCCTCAGGGTCCACTGTTGGAATCTTTGAGTGGCTTCTCTGTGTTTGGTTGACATATGTTGACATTAACTAAAGCTTAATTAAAGCATTCTAAAACAGACATTTGCCATTCATTTGCCCAAGCTTGCTGAGTATTGTCGCTAGAAGTGCACTATCCAGGCACGGAATGCCCGCATCGCTGTTCGACAGCTGGTTTCCGGAGAGGCACCACCAAATACCACCAGCAAGACCTTGCTTTCGATGATTTTCGATGATTTCCGATGAGGATGTTGATGGATGTTGCTTTGACAAGTTGACAACCAGGAATGCGGATGGCTGATTGGCAAGAGGGGTAACAAGATTCACAAGCTTCGAGAAACCTGGAAGCAATGAATGAAGTATATAATATTATATAATGCACATTTGCATACATTTGCTTCTTTTGAACTGGTGTCTGTCTTCCAAATCAGACTTGTTCTGCAGAAGGCACCCTCTTGCTCCGACACGGGTGTTTGCCATAACTTGCCAACATATTTTGAGATTCGGAGACTTTGTCAGTTCACAGCCGGTTCACAGCCCATTCACGGCCTGTTCACCCACTTCAAAGGAACTCGCGTTGGTCTCCACCCGTGAAGCGGATGCGGAAGTGTGCAACGGATGTCCAAGATCCGTTGTGGTCCCTTGGCAAGCACTGCACCGGTTCTTTAACCGGTTTGTACCAGTTACAGTACCTGAGATCCGCACGAGATCTGCATGGTTATGATATGTTATGATGAGGCTTTCTTTTACTATATGTTTTGTATTTTTTTAAATGTTTTATTATGCTCCACTGTATGTTTTACTGTATGTTTTACTATGTTTGTCCTGTATTTGGCTGTAGCAACGCTTTCACGATGTTGCTCAGGAAATCTTTGGAGCTCCGCTTACGAAGTGCATTTGCGTGCTGCAATTGATTGTGGACGACTTGGAGCTTTTCCCCGAGGTGACTTGCCAGCTTGATGATGCTTGATGTTAACATATATGTTAACCATATTTAACGATTGCATCGAATTTTCGTCTAAGTCTCACATCTTCCAAGTAATCAAACCAATCCACCTTGGGTGACAATAGAGCGTTCGTTTGAAACACTGGAAAAGAGGTGGGTACTACATGGTACTACCAGAAATGCCGTGCAGGTGAAGTTGGTCGATTTTGTATTGCTCATCCTGTCTGATCCTGTCTGTACAAACATCTACAAAGACTTCAGCTGACCCATCGTAGCATCGTAGCCCCTAGGTCCAGCCTTGCACGAGTCTCTTGGTTCCTTCCAGCTTATCGCCTTTCCTGTCACGTGGCTTGGATGAGGCCACGAACACCGACTGGACTTGTTGATCTTGCTGTGTGATGCCCGATGTGATGCCCGATACCGTTCGATACCCTTGACATCCCTTGACTGCAAATTCTGCAATCACTCGAGTTTGTGGAAGGCAAGTGTTGGCTGTGATGCCCGAGTACTCACTGGGAAGAAGCCCCTTGGCATCTCCTGGCCATATGAAGGGATCAGTAAGGGCGAAAGTAGGCACCTGGTCACGTTGCTAGAAATTCATGAAAGTCAACAAATCAAAGCAGACTATGCCGCCCACTAAGCATTCCCTCCAGGACTCAGCAAGCTCTTCATTTCAGTACCTTTCTGTTTTCAATTATTAATTTTGCCGTGAAAGCTACAAATCCGTCGCACTCGATAGGCAAAGGCTAGAGCGATTCGGTTTGAATATCGTTTTCGTAAAATTCCAACTGCTACAATAGATCATTACAATAGTGGCTCTGTCCAAATGTCTTGTGGCATCTTGTGGCACAGACTGATCAGACTGGCTGTTTGATGTCTGGACATGTTTTATAAATATTATATTGTATTACTGCGTATTATATTATATTACATTAAATTTCATTATACATACGTATACAGATACATTTATCATATATATCATTTTGTTAAATGTATTTTGATTTATATTTATGTTATATATTCTGGTATATATATGGTGTTGATCAAAATTCCTTTATCCGGGAACGGCCATTCTTCGCGAATAAGAATGTTACTTTCGCGAAACTTCCGTGAAACAAAATGTGGCTTTCGCGAACTCGAAAAACAACTTTTGCGAGGGTTTCCAACATAACATGCACGGCTTTCGCAATTCAAACTCCTTACAAGGACCTTTAGATCGACCAACCATATATACATGGTATTTTGATATATTTTGATTATTTTTGACATATATACAGCATATACAGTATATATATATAATATTATATATACATATTATATAATTAGAATTATGTATTTGATGAACCAGTCAAACATATGTTATATGTCGATATGCTGATTGCCACCGCCTCTGCAGTTGGCTGCTGCTCGAGCTCCGCGGGAGTGCCCAGCAGCGCCTGCTGGGAGCGCAAGCAGCACATGAAGCTGTGGAAGCTGCTGCAGCTCTGCGTCCTTTGGAGGAAAGAAAAAATGAGAGAGCAATTTAGCATGGAATTGATCTGGAATTGATATTGAATCGACATGGTCTAACCGATAAAAAATCAATTGAGATGTTTAGAGAAGAATGTAGTTTCGAGATGAAAGATAATTCAGAATGGTCTGACCGACTTGCTCTCTTTCAATCAGATCAGGGATTTTGCCGGACCTCCCGTTCTTGTTCCTGTCCCTGTTTCCATTACTGTTTGCTTTGTTGAAGTGTCCCGGCACATGCAAAGGTGATGACGCGACTGACTCTTCACCCAAAGGTTCGGCTGCAATTTGTGTCGGTTGCAATCCGCGATGACCGGTCACCTGAAATCAGTCGCATGAATCTTCTGCACAGGCGGTGCTGAAAGCCAAAGAGCTTTTGTGTCGGCATCTTAGATAAATCTTAGCATGACCCGCAAGAAGTCCACGGTGAGCCGTTGACGCTGATCTAAACATTTCATATTATGTACATCAATTTACTGAATATGTACTATCCTAGTATCCCTGCATTTCTCTGAATACATTTCATTGATCTTGAATTCCAGTTTGACAGTTGCCTATTTCTTAGACTTCAGCAGCAATTCCTCAACGCCAAGGTCAAGAGCGATGCAATCCACAGAAGCTGCACAGGATCCAGCTGAAGGCTGGAGAGTGACTGCCCAGAAAAGAACAGTCCCTCAGCAAAGGCAAGGACTCATATCACATCATATCACACTGTACACACTTTATACACCTATTTAATCCTATTTATATAATTCTATATAATCATATTTATACAGTACATCTTCTTGCATGAAAACAGCAAAACCTGCCTCTTGGGATCTCTTGGGATCCCTTTTTGACAGGTCCCAGAAGCGCTCAAAGCGCTGGCTTCACAGAAGCGATTGCTGCACCCCCTGCGATGCTGGCCCCTCCCGAAGTCATGGCATCAGAAGCCTCTTTCAACAAGTTCCTGCCCCGGGTAACACGGTAACACGCAGATCAACAATATGTTGCCATTTGCCGCAGAGTGAGCTACTGGATGCTACTGGTAGATTATATATATAATATAATATAATATAATATAATATATATATATATATGTATATGTATATGTATATGTATATGTATATGTATATGTATATTATAAACACTGATTAAACACGATCAGTGGCATCGCGGATGTGGCAACATGCTACTTCGTCGACAATCATTCTTCATGGCACATCCAGCCCAGTGCAGTTGACTTTGTCCGAGGTTTCCCCCTCAGGGATCTGCTGCACTTCAGAAAGGCTTGTGGGATAGAACACAGCTGCAGCCAAACGACTCTTGTGAATGTCCATATATATATATATACATATATAATATAATATATATATATATTATATATATATTATATATATATATTATATTATATATATATATATCCATATTGAAGACTCTTGATATATCTTGATATATCTTCTTTCTATTTCTTTCTCAGTTTAGTCAAATCCATAGGGGATCTGAAGAACGATCCACCGTCCGGTCCGGTTACTCCGCTGGAAATTACCCTCCGCTGCAGGCGAAGCTTGTCCAGTCGATGCTTGGAGGTCCAACACCACTCTGCTCTTGAGCTTTAAGAGCTTCACGGCTGCAATGGGCTACAAGCAGTTCGTAGTGAGTTCGCACCAAGATATCCAAGATATCCAAGATGACTTTGTATGACTTTGTATGACTTTGTCGCATTTTGTAAGAACTGATGGCTTTGTCAATTGCCCAGTCTTAAGGCTATCCAATGGCTTTGCGGCTGGCCAGTCAGCATCGCATTGCACAGCGTGCCGGTGTCACACTGGAGGTTGAGCAAGAGGTGCCTGGGAGGAGTGACGAGATGCCAATCCCTGGAGCTTTGAGATTCCTGGACTAGATGTTGGACCTTGGACCTGGTGACTTGAAGCAGCCTAGATACTCAGCCAGCTGCCTAGCTTGGTATTGAGCTACTTGTTACCTAATGTATCCTAATGTCACCTACTTGTTACCTAGGTACATAGCTGACATAGCTACTTTGTAGCTCCTATCAATACTGTCCTCAAACCACGGCAAGGCGTGGCCTGGTGTACCAGATGGGGCAGTGTGCAGAGCTCAGCACGCGTTGAGAGCCATGTGCCTTCCAGTTTCTTCCGTCCTGAATCGAAGAGACTTGATAATGACATAAGTTATATATGTTATGTTTATATGTTTTATAGGTTTATAGTATTATAGCTTTATAATTTTTACAATGCTTTATAGTTATGTAGAGTTACACAGAGTCATATAGTTATGAAGCAATATTTTAAGCCCCCTGTAAGCTGTTTTAGCATAAGCTGTTTATGCTAGTGAACCTACTTTAGCATGAGATTTGACTGGACTTTCTGTTGCTGCCGTCGTGCTGTCGTTGGAGATGTGGTCCCAAAACGTCCCAAGTGCAGTGCCAAAGATTGCTCCGTCCAGGATGCGGATCTTGGGACAGCCCATGGCCAATGCAGTTGCCTGTTGCTTTGGCAAAATTCGGATCAAATGCGACATGCGACATGATGTGATATGATGCGACATGGAAAATTCACAACACAACTGAAGTTGGTTCATTTTGGTCAGCGTACAGATGTTTTTTTGTTTGGGCACCAACATTCGAATGAAGAAGCATTTCAGCCAGACGAGAATTAAAAAAGATGCAAGTTCTGCCAATACCCAGGTTTCCTCCTACAAAGAGCACAGTGGCTGGAAAGAACATTCGGCCCCACCGTTTGACCGAAAGCGTGAAAAAGGTCGTTCGTCTGTGTTTGCTCACTCATCGTGTGGTCTTGCGCAAGGGCCATGGGCTTTCACTTCCACATCATATTCTGGAACACTCCTGTCTACAATATTCTGCAATGTCCACAAAATAGCTGGCCCTGTCCACAAAATGCTTTGGGAAAATTGATGCAGGACGTAGCAAGAAAGCAAATTCGACGTGCCTTGGAGGTGCCAAGTCGTTCAGTGCAGAGTTGTACACATTTGAAATATCTTGGAATATCTTGGAATGGTATTGTACATCGTTGGTCCATTCCAGTCTTCCAGTCTTGGAAGGACAAGTGAAAAAATGTGTAGCTGTATTGGGGCTGATGGACCATAGCTGGAGGCGGGGCCAAAGCGCATCCGCCCTACCACTCGAGAGGAGTTGAGGTTGGAAACTCACGGAAACCGACACTGCGTTGAGATTCCAGCATTAGACCCTCTCTGTGTTTCCTCTCTCTAATTACAATGATCTTTTTAAATAGCATTTATGCAGACAAATGACTGCAGTGGCAGCAGCATCATTGATAGCTGGTGTGGCCTGATAGGTGGAAACTTGAAGATTTAGGAGAGGAGCTTGCGAAAGCAAAGGAGGAGGCAAAGGAGAAGGTGGGACATGGTGAAGATTGGTGAAGACATGGAGCTTGGCAGATCGCAGGATGGACTTATATGGACTCTCTTTCGAATAAAAAAAAACTGGATTGGTAAATTGGTTGAATATCTTATGATTGGTAAATAGTGCCATGATGCTACCGTCCTGTTTGAAATGATTGGCCATGTGCAGTGACTGCGTTGCTGAAGAAAGACAAAAGACACGCTGGATTAGGCCAAGCAGGAAGAAGAGACTGAAGCAAAGGAGGAGCTTCGAGGCAAGCACTGATCTCGAAAAGCAAAGACAGTCTCCTTCATTTGGAACAGACCAAGCAAAATGGTTTGACATGGTTTGACTGTTTGACATTGTTTGACTATATTTACTTTTGACTGCTTCTCACTGGAGGTGAGCAAGAGGAGATCAAAGCACAAAGACAAGCTATCGAGGACGACCGGGTTCTTTGAGTTGTGCCTCTACATCCTCTAGTAAAACTGTTAAGTGAGCAAGAAGATGCATCATTTGGATGTTTGCCATTGTTTGCCTTTGTTCTTTCGCTGGTATCGAATGCAGGAATGGAAGAAACGCATAGCGAAGCTGGAGCAAGATAACTCTGCCCATCAGGTGAGCTCTCATTTTGTCATACGTCATTGCACTTGTTCATCATAGATCGTCGTGTACTGAATCATTGTTCAACATTGTTCAACATTGTTCAACATTGTTCAACCATCAATTTGACTTTGGCTGTTTGATGAAATTTGAATAGCCATCAACCATATTGTTTTGATTTTGAAATGTTCCAACTTGTTTCTGATTGTGGCACCATGCCAGGTTGAGATCAGCAGCTTGGAACGTGCCTTGCAGACAGGCCTGGAGCGGTTGGATGGACCTCAAGTCTCAGCTGCCCGGAGGCCTCCGTCCGGACGCCTCAGGTCGGAGCTGTGATGACAGGTGACTGGTGATGACTGGTGATGGGTTAAGGAATGGTTCAGGTAAGTTGATGATGTTGATGTAAGTTGGTCATAGTTGGTCAAGGTATCGAGCATTTGGTCAAGTTAGATCTTGGTGAGACATGGTGCCTTTGGGGTTACGAGGAGATCTTGGGATGCCTTGGGATGTCCGTGGTGATGCTGCGATGGTTGATGTGAGCGAAACTCTGGAGCCGAGGTGGCAACTCCTTGTGAGTCAAACTGCTCCTGCGAGTCTCGGGCTTCTGAAGGCCAGGTTGCACTGGAGCACTGGAGCAAAACCACAAAAAGCTGCCATGGTATGCCATGGTTTTGCCGATGGTTTGAACATGTTGCAATCTGTCAAGGAGAAGCTCTTGGAGAAGGAGAAGGCCAAAGCAGCTTCAAACATCAACATGGATTGTTTATGTGCTTCTCCTTCGATGGATTCTTTATATTCTTTGTTGTGACATGCAGTCATATTGTACATATATAATACATTACAATACTGTATATTACAATTAGTGATATATATATAATTGATATAATATATGTATATTATCTATAATATTACGTATAAAATATATATTTACTGTAAATATCATGATCATGTGAATCTCGTGGCCTTTTCGAGGCTTTCAACCAGCTGCAGCAAGAGCGACATCAGCTGCAAGAGGAGCTGCTCGAGGCTCAAAAAGTCTCACAGCAACTGGCGCAGGACGGTGGCAGGGGATGATCTGACAGATCCTGTGACAGCCGGTGACATCACTGAATCGAATTTGGGTCGTTCCTTTGTCGTGACATAGAATTCATAGAATGGCACATAGCTGGATCCATGTTGAGGGGATTCACTGACTGGTTCTTGCTATTCAGTGCACACTTCATTGAAGATAGAGCTGGCTCCTCTCGGTGGCTCCCAGCTGGACTTTTCCAGGAGGCGAAAGAAAGGAGGGAGGAGCTGCAGCGCTTGCGACATGGAAGTGGAGAGGCAAAGAGGTGGAAAAGGGGAGAGAAATCGGAGAGAGAGGGGATGGAAAGGGATGGAAAGGGAGGGAAGGGGCAAGGTGAAGGGTTTGCATGGTTGTTGCAACTAGAGACGACCAGAGAGGACTCTGTGTGATCAGCTTGCAGGAGGACCTCGGTAGTACATCAAGGAGAAATCCTTGCCATGAAGAAGCAGGTGGATGCTTGATCCTCAGCAAGCCAGTCCGATGTTGGTGCAGAAGGATGCAGAAGCATTCGGATTTGGTGAAAGAACATGAAAGAAAGCGTTAGCAGTTAACTTCTTTGATATTGCTTTCGGAGATCCGCTCAGTATTGCTCAGTTGTTGCATTGATGTTGAATTGAAGTGTTCAAGTCTTGTAGCACAGCTGCAAGATTCGGAAGATGTCCGTATCATGCGCACCAAGATGTATCCACGTACAGCTGAGTGTAATACAGGCTGGAGAGACTGCCTTGGATGAGGTGCCTATGGCTCAGCTTTGGGTCTGAAAGGAACAGAGGTAAGCTGAGTATGCTGAGTAAACCGAGTAAGCTGTTTGCAGGATTTGTGTGGATTTGTGAGTTTAAATATGTTTAAATTAAATCTAGCGGGAGTTGCATCAAACTAAGCACCCATAAGATCCGACAAGATCCTGTAAGAATACCAGCAAAATTCACCGTGCTTCTCTTTGGTGGAGGTTCGGGCACGACGAAACTCGATGCGAGCTGAACAGAAGGGCGTGGTGTTAGACGGAAAGCAGATGCCCAAGTTCAACGTACAGAGATGCAAAACTTGTTTCATTCTGATTCTTTGTTGTCATGGCAATCCACCACTGTTTCCATCGATTATAACCAGGTGAACTTCGGCCTTTCTCTTCCTTTCTTTTATTTTTTCGGGACCAGATGTGCATCTGATTTTCCACACCCTCCCAGGCGCCGCATCTCAGTGCTGGAGGTGGATCTCGCACGCCAGCAGCAGCAAAGCCAGAAAGAGCTGCAAGAGCAGTTGGCCATGGAGGACGACCATGGATGACCATAGATGACCATGGATATCCATGGACTGCTGATGCTGTTCGAAAAAACCACCTGGTGGTTCCTTGTTGAGATATAGATAGCAAAATTGGACTTGGATGCATACTTTCGATTACTTTCGTATTTTTCTGTGCTCTTTTTGTGTCTTTTCCTTCAAATTGGTGCAGAGCGGCTGGAGGAAGAGACTTTGGCAGCAGCACAGCGTGAACGTCTGGAAGACATTGCGAAGTCAGAGCGGCAAGCAGAAGCGGCTCTGGACCTTTGCCGCAAGGACTGGCACAGGAATGGCAGTAAATTCACTTGCAGTTTGATTTGCACAGGTCGTTTGAAATCATTTTACGCATGACCCCCATGCTCCATGGTGATCTATGGCTATGGCCATCTACGGTCCAGGAGGAGGCCATGTATCACTCAGAAGCTGCGGAGCAACGCGCGGCGAGTGCTGGACTCGTTGAAGCTGTGGAACTCGTGCGCCGTGGCGTGGCTGCAGAGGCTGCAGCGGCTGCAGCGGTCGCTGCTGAGGGGATGGCAGTGAAGGAAGGCCTCAGCGAGCAGCTGGAGCAGGGCGCACAAGCGGCTGCAGACATTGCGGAGGAGAGTTGCAGATAGTCACTATATGTCACTATAGAGTTGCAGAATGTTTAGATATTTATTAAGACTTTTGCAGAATGTTGCAGATCACGAGATTCGGTGTCCTTTCTACCAGCGCTTTGGTGATTTTGCATCGTTATGCGAGTCTGTTTGCTTTCATATTAAATCCCTTTCGGCAGGGTTGCCCCAACTCATTTTAGGTCAATGACAACCACAAGGGAGGGAAATTGGCAATCATACCTCCATATTGAGCCAATTGACCCCCGTGGTACCTGGGGTGTTTGAAACGGCCCTTTTAAGAGTTTATCATTCCACAGAGTGTTGGCATGACTGAGCAAGTAACTACAGAGCCATTTTGACCTGCGGAAATTCCGGAGGAGCTTGCCCTTGCGAATGGTTTGAGCCACCAGCGTGCAAAAGAACAGGCTGCTCTCGCTGCAGCAGAGGTGCGAGCGCAAACAGGAAGTCTGGCAGAACGCCAAGCAGCTCTGAAGCGAACGATCGCCATCCGCGAAGATTTGATTTCGCAGACTCTGCAGATCCAGGAGGAATACGAACGAGAGAAACGACGAAAAGATGAGATGGTTCTTGAAAAGATTGATTTGGAGTTGGAGATGGAGAGTGAGACCAGGACTTGGGAGAGGAACATGTTGGATCGCAAGCGCATGGAACAGTCTGTTGTTACCCAGCTGCCTGGAGTCGTGAGCAGTGTAGATTTGATCTGCCTAAGATCAGAGCTCACAGTGCAGAAAGAGTTAACAGAACAAGAGGTTGCCCAAAGCTCCTTGGCAAATGGTACGCTTCCAAAGCAGGTTGAACATTTCTGAGCATATTCTTTCCGCATGCACACATTTTCTTGGAGGTGCGAACTCCTCAATTTGCATCAATTTGCCACACAGCTATGATAGCTATGATAGCTATGAAACAAAATAAACAAACCTGAGGTCGGCAAGAGGTTGCCCAAGCAGAGGCCATTCTGGCTGCGGTGACAGAGGCGATCAGCAGTATCGAAAGTTCAGAACGCGCAGCAGTTATTTTCCGTATATTTGTAAATCATGCCACCGTGGGTCAGAACCAAAGGTCCTTAATTAATATCATTTGAATTCATTTGATATCTAAATAATCTAAATCATCAATTATCAATTCCTAAATGGTGGGTGAAAAGTTGATGAACAGTGCAGGGCAATGTCTTTTGGGTGCGTTTTTGAGATGTTTTAAGGATGTTCCCCACACCAAAGGACTGCTTTGGACTCAGCATAGCCGGACAGTTGGGAAGGCGGCTGTGGAGCACAAAGAGATGGCGGCCCGGCGAGGACGAGCCCTTGGTGGTGAGGACTGTGAGAAAAAAATTGGCAAAGTCTCCGGGACGACCAAGACCATCCAAGACCATCCAAGACCTTTCTGGGCTGTGTCCATTCAGATCTATTGAGTCTATTTGAGGCATTGGCAGACATTGCTTGTAATGATTGCTTTCGCTCTCCGCAAAGCAAGATGACTCTGTTCTTCGTGTGAAGCAGTTTGTTGTTTCGTGCAGAAGGACTCCCAAAGCCTTTTGGATGAAGCAAGACAAGAGAGGCTTGTTGGGGGTTGTTTTTTGATGGCACCGCAAAGGGAAACGATTGGAATTGAGGATCAAGATACCTCAAGTATTGCCATCCATAGTGGATTCTGCTGTTCCACTGGCTTAATTACGTTGCTCCACACATTGGTTCTCAGAAACCGACAGGGGAGCAGAGACCAATATCATGTCATGTACAGTATAAACTACTGCAACATACTTCAACATACGTCAGCTGATGTTAGGATATGAAAGCTTCTCAAGCCAACGTTTGCAGTGACAACCCTCATAATTCGCCTAGGCTTGGCCAAGTTGGGCTAGATTTAAATTTGGACCTCACTGACACTACATACTTGGAGATTCCGTGTTTGCCAAGAAATGCAAGTTCCCAGAGAAAAGCTACAGCTGCAAGCTTAAAGGGTCAAAAGGAAATTCCTCTAGAGCTTTCTAGAGCTTCAGGATTCACAGCTCGTAGGGATTAGTGACAAGCTCTAGAGTCTCTTGGTCACTTTATATTTTGGCTGTCTGTGACGTGGATAACAAAATAAGCATTTAGATCCTCTAGGGTTGCCAGGTTTTAGACTTTCGCCAAGATCCACGTGGTGGTCACTGAACCGCTACATGTTACATGTTGAAGTATGCGACTTCTTAGTTGATGTGACTGATGTGTCCATTTTGAGGCGATTGGCCAAAGAAAGCCTTCAATCAGCCCTTGAGGATTTGCACTTGCACGGCCTCAGGACAGAAACACGCGGTGTGTTTCTCAAGAAATCATACAGATCACACAGAAACACGACAGAAGTCTCCTCTCTGACAAAGCCTATCATTTCGAAACATTCCAGTTCCACATGGTTCTCTACAGGACTCAAGATGGTTTGCCTGATGAAGCCTCTTGTGTGGCGGACAGCGACGTCTCACAGGAGCACTTTTCTTCACCTCACTACAGCACTGCCCGCCGCAGATTCTGGTTGTTTTTATATATAATATAATTATATATATAATTATACATATATATATATATACATATAGTAAATATATATATATATATACATAATAAATATATATAAATCATTTCTTTTTTCACCTTTTTTCACTGTTTTTTTGATGTCCAGACTCCAAGCCCAGTGGACCTTGGTCAGGATTGGATCCGCGTGCCGATCCATGTCAGTGACAAGGACCAGTTGTTGTCTGAAGTGGAGGAAGCGAAGAAGGCAGCTCGGTGCTGTGAACTTGGCAGAGTTTGGAACTGCAACTGGTGTAAAACATTTGCTTTATTATTATATACTATTATATATTACTATATGATATTATATATTATTATATACTATTATATTAATATGTATTATTATTATTGTTATTATTATCATCAATGATCAATCATCGATCCACTTTTTCATTTGTCTCATTGCATTTCAGCTTCAGGTTCCACACCTTACGGTTCTCAGCCCTCAGGCCTTGGCCGTGCGGCGCAGTGTGGCAGCCCAAACTGAGCAGCTCTCAGCGCTGCATGCAGAAGCAGAGGAGGGACTCTGGATGTTCTTCTTGAAGAGACTTTGGTATATCATATGACAAATATAATGATACATATATATATATATTTGTATATGTATTGTATACACATTATATCTATAATATAATACTTTTAATTTCGTACTACATTCTATACATTCTACACATTTGTTTTGTCGGGCCTGTGAGTTCTGTGAGTTCTGCAAATTTGAACAATCTTTGAACTGCTGAATCATGCTGAATCTGGTGTTCAGGATTTGCAGGTTTGTGAAGCTGTTGGTACTTGATCTTGACACCTGTGCTCTTGCTTTCGTATGGTTTAGTTTGGCAAGATTTCTGAGATTTTTGAGATTCTGTCTAATGAGTGTCATAATGAATGATACTGAATGATTTCTCCCATTTTCCATCTCACCGGCAATCCGCAGGCATTAGAAATTCAGAATTTGCAACTGCAGGAACAGTACCTTGGTTGCAATCCATCCTTGGGGTCTCATTCTTTGTTCTGCGTGTGGGTGTGTGTGTGTGTCTCTCTCTCTCTCTTTCTCTCTCTCCCTTTTCCTCCTCTTCCGCCTCTTTTTTTTTCCTTCTTGCTCGTGACGTGACGTCGCTCCATTTGCATCAAAAACTGACGGGTGACGACGAAACGAATGACATCGTATTCATTTCGTGGCAAAAAGTACAATCGGTTGATCAGGAAGCGTGATTTGGAGCTACGCATTTCTGCCGCGCAGTTTGCTTTGAAACGGTGGCCAAAGAGACGCCAGGCACATTCACGGGGAACATTCACCAGGGCACATTCACGGGGAACATTCAGCAGGGTGTGAGATCTATGTTCACATATCTTCGGTCTGGTTTGGTTGGGATATGTGGGTCAATTTCAGTTCTCTGCCACCATCAGCTGCTCTGTCGATCGCATCACTTCATGCATGGTGTTCACCATGATTTGATCAATTGGATGTTCTTATTTGAATTTTTATTTATTATTTGATCAGCAGTGGATGCCAAATGGAAGATCTCTCGATCTTGCCATTTTGGCTCAAGATCTATTTCCTGAGTGCGAAAAGCTCAGGGCCTGGGTGTACCCTTCGCTCATTTCATTCCTCCTCTCGTTCTAGCCATGTCACGCCGCTCTGGTTCTTGGAATGTTGGATACGGAGCTCAAGGCCGTGGCGGTGGAGGCGGAGGAGGTCAATGGAGTGGGCAACGATCGGGCCCCAACATGGCACACAACCCTTATGTTGTGCAGATGCCACGGTTCATGGAACCGATCGCGGAGGGGCCGGAGCCAGAGGATCAGTCAATGATCGTCATTGACAACCGAGACGATCGTATGGTTTCTCCTTTTCAGACCTGGTTGGTCTCGGAGATCATGGCAAATGCGGCGAGCTCGATCAACGTCCTGACAGAACGGGACCAGGTCATGCCGCCGAACTCCGGCTTTCACCTCGCGCTCTTTGGGAACTACACCCTTGACGGAATCAAGGTGGTCATCGCCATCTCGATCGAGTCAAACACTGGCAACACCTGTGCAGGGTGGGACGCAGAGACTGCTCAGGCTCTGGCCCACCCCGCTTTTCAGCCATTCAGCTGGCCGATGCTCCGTGACACGTCGGCATCCTATGTGGACCTGAAGATCTATAATGGCAATGAGATTCTCTTCCACTGGATCTTCAGAGGTTTCCATTCAGACACTGACCTCACGGTGCAGCAACAGTTCGTGGATGAGTATTTCGTTCGCGAAGCTAGCAAAGGTCAGCCGAGGCTCTCTGTGGTCGTGGCCGTGTTCCTTGGCTGGCGGGTCTCAGTGCTGAGTTTTGAGTGTGGCGGTCGAACATACTCGATCGGCCCCAAAGGCTCAGTTGTGGCTGGCGACTCTGCCCGCTCGAGGTTTGAGATGCGCGTCTGCTCTCGCGCTTCAGATGACGCTGTGGGCAATGACGCAGATCGCATCGAGATGAGGTTCAGAGATGCCAACAACCGCATTGATCTCAAGTGCTCTCGCACATCAGTGCCAGGGACTTGGCTCACAGTCTCCCACATCTCTGGTCCGACCTTGATCCAAACGATCAAGTCAGTTCGTGAAAACAAAGCCAGGGTCGAGGGACCTGAACAGACAGAGCAGTTCGCTCAACTTGCTGCCGTTCACGAAGGCTGGTGGAAGAGCTCTGTTTGTGAATCAGAAGACGATGTGGGGGTGAAGCTCGCTTTTGTGGAATGTTTGGAGCCTGGAAATTTCCATGTTCAGGCAAAGTCCAAGCTCTTTGAGAGAGCGCCGGAGATCGTGGCACAGAAAGCTCTGGCAGAGATGCGCCACACGAGCTCAGCCCCAGCTCCGGTTGGCCCTCCGGCATTGACGTCGGAGGCTTGGCTCCGCGCAGAAGTTGCAGAAGACGATCAACCAACTGCTCATGCTGGTGAATTGGTTGCAGCAAGCAGGCAGGCGGGGATCGAGCTGGATGAACGCTCGTTCAACGTCCGCCACTCCAATCGGGGTGAAGCAGGGCACATGGTCGACGATGAACGTGACAGGGCTCGCATGGATCGCAGATTTGCGCGGTCAACTGCAGGGCTCACACCCATGATCTTTGCTGAGGAGATGATGCGCCGTTCCTACAACACATCGACGGCCAAGATCGAAGAGGTGGATGAAAGCTCTGAGCCACAGCAAGCGGCGCAGGCACGATCGTCGCAGTCGCAGGCACCACTTTGGGGCCCTGCAGGCGGCTCGACGGGGCCGGTGTCGTTCGGACCCACTACATACGATGCATAGCTCTGTGCCGATCGGTGAGCTCTAAAGGGGTGATCCCTGATTGAAGAGCTCTTGGCCTTGGGCAGATCATGTCGTAGGTCCGGTTTTTATCTGCGGTCAATTTGACTTGCAGCGGTTTTTCCCGAGAGCGCCTGCGAAGGGTTCTTCGTAAAAAAGCAGCCGTTATACTAGATCTTCACACCTTCACACCTGCAGATCTAGATCTTCACACTCTCACATCTGCCGATCTACATCTTCACACCTTCACATCTGCTGATCTAGATCTTCACACCCTCACATCTGCAGATCTAGATCTTCACACCTTCACACCTGCAGATCTAGATCTTCACACTCTCACATCTGCCGATCTACATCTTCACACCTTCACATCTGCTGATCTACATCTTCACACCTTCACACCTGCAGATCTAGATCTTCACATCCTCACACCTGCAGATTTAGATCTTCACACCCTCACATCTGCAGATCTACATCTTCACACCTTCACACCTGCAGATCTACATCTTCACACCCTCACACCTGCAGATCTACATCTTCACACCCTCACAGCTGCAGATCTACATCTTCACACCCTCACATCTGCAGATCTACATCTTCACACCTTCACACCTGCTGATCTACATCTTCACACCTTCACACCTGCTGATCTACATCTTCACACCCTCACACCTGCAGATCTACATCTTCACACCCTCACATCTGCAGATCTACATCTTCACACCCTCACATCTGCAGATCTACATCTTCACACCTTCACATCTGCAGATCTCCTCTCGCTCTTCTTCTATTCTCTCTTAAGGCGGGGGCGGTGCCGCCGGAGCGCCACGAAACGCAACCCTTTCGCACGAAATGGACGTTGGACGTCCAAAACCTAGGTAAAATTGCGATTTTGAAGCGTCGCCGGCAACCCCTTCGCACGAAATGGACGTTGGACGCCAAAAACTGAGGAAAAATTGCAACTTTTATTGGTCGCGCGCAACCCTTTCGCACGAAATGGACGTTGGACGTCAAAAACTGAGGAAAAAATGCGACTTTGAAGCGTCCCGCGCAACCCTTTCGCACGAAATGGACGTTAGACGTCAAAAACTGAGGAAAAAATGCGACTTTGAAGCGTCCCGCGCAACCCTTTCGCACGAAATGGACGTTGGACGTCAAAAACTGAGGAAAAATTGCGACTTTGAGGTGTCCAGCGCAACCCTTTCGCACGAAATGGACGTTGGACGTCAAAAACTGAGGAAAAATTGCGACTTTGAGGTGTCAATCGCAACCCTTACACACGAAATGGAGGTTGGACGTCAAAAACTGAGGAAAAATTGCGATTTTACTTGGTCAATCGTAACCCTTTCGCACGAAATGGACGTTGGACGTCAAAAACTGAGGAAAAATTGCGACTTTGAGTTGTCAATCGCAACCCTTACGCACGAAATGGACGTTGGACGTCAAAAACTGAAGAAAAATTGCGACTTTGAGTTGTCAATCGCAACCCTTTCGCACGAAATGGACGTTGGACGTCAAAAACTGAGGAAAAATTGCAATTTTAAAGTGTCAATCGCAACGCTTTCGTCTGTGTAAAAGTGTCTGTGTGTAAAAGCCTCTGTGTGTAAAAGCGTCTGTGTGTAAAAGCGTCTGAATGTAAAAGCGTCTGTGTGTAAAAGCGTCTGTGTGTAAAGCGTCTGTGTGTAAAAGTGTTTGTGTGTAAAAGCTTCTGCGTGTAAAAGCGTCTGTGTGTAAAAGCGTCTGTGTGTAAAAGCGTCTGTGTGTAAAAGCGTTTGTGTGTAAAAACATCTGTGTGTAAAAGCGTCTGTGTGTAAAAGCAACTGTGTGTAAAAGCTTCTGTGTGTAAAAGTGTTTGTATGTAAAAAGTGTTTGTGTGTACAAGCTTCTGTGTGTAAAGCTTCTGTGTGTAAAAGCGTCTGTGTGTAAAAGCGTCTGTGTGTAAAAGTCTCTGTGTGTAAAAGTGTTTGTGTGTAAAATTGTCTGCGGGTAAAAGCCTCTGTGTGTAAAAGTCTCTGTGTGTAAAAGCGTCTGTGTGTAAAAGCGTCTGTGTGTAAAAGCGTCTGTGTGTAAAAGGCTCTGTGTGTAAAAGCGTCTGTGTGTAAAAGCGTCTGTGTGTAAAAGAGCCTATGTGTAAAAAGCGTTTGTGTGTAAAAGCGTCTGTGTGTAAAAGCGTCTGTGTGTAAAAGCGTCTGTGTGTAAAAGCGTCTGTGTGTAAAAGCGTCTGTGTGTAAAACCGCCTGTGTGTAAAAGCTTCTGTGTGTAAAAGCCTCTGTGTGTAAAAGCTTCTGTGTGTAAAAGCCTCTGTGTGTGAAAGTGTTGTGTGTAAAAGTGTCTGTCACTGTGTGTAAAAGCGTCTGTGTGTAAAAGCGTCTGTGTGTAAAAGCTTCTGTGTGTAAAAGCCTCTGTGCGTCAAAGCCTCTGTGCGTCAAAGCGTCTGTGTGTAACAGCGTCTGTGTGTAAAAGCGTCTGTGTGTAAAAGCGTCTGTGTGTAAAAGCTTCTGTGTGTAAAAGCGTCTGTGTGTAAAAGCGTCTGTGTGTAAAGGAGTCTGTGTGTAAAATCTTCTGTGTGTAAAAGCGTCTGTGTGTAAAAGCGTTTGTGTGTAAAAGTGTCTGTGTGTAAAAGTCTCTGTGTGTAAAAGCTTCTGTGTGTAAAAGCGCCTGTGTGTAAAAGCTTCTGTGTGTAAAAGCCTCTGTGTGTAAAAGCTTCTGTGTGTAAAAGCCTCTGTGTGTGAAAGTGTTGGGTGTAAAAGCGTCTGTGTGTAAAAGCGTCTGTGTGTAAAAGCGTCTGTGTGTAAAAGCGTCTGTGTGTAAAGGAGTCTGTGTGTAAAAGCGTCTGTGTGTAAAAGGTGTGTGTAAAAGTGTCTGTTTGTAAAAGCGTCTGTGTGTAAAAGCGTCTGTGTGTAAAAAGCTTCTGTGTGTAAAAGCGTCTGTGTGTAAAGGACTCTGTGTGTAAAGGAGTCTGTGTGTAAAAGCGTCTGTGTGTAAAAGCGTCTGTGTGTAAAAGCGTCTGTGTGTAAAAGTGTTTGTGTGTAAAAGCGTCTGTGTGTAAAAGCTTCTGTGTGTAAAAGCGTCTGTGTGTGTAAAAGTCTCTGTGTGTAAAAGCGTCTGTGTGTAAAAGCGTCTGTGTGTAAAAGCGTCTGTGTGTAAAAGCGCCTGTGTGTAAAAGCTTCTGTGTGTAAAAGCCTCTGTGTGTAAAAGCGTCTGTGTATAAAAGCGTCTGTGTGTAAAAGCTTCTGTGTGTAAAAGCCTCTGTGTGTGAAACTGTTGTGTGTAAAAGCGTCTGTGTGTAAAAGGGTCTGTGTGTAAAAGGGTCTGTGTGTAAAAGCGTTTGTGTGTAAAAGTGTCTGTGTGTAAAAGCTTCTGTGCGTAAAAGCACTTGCGTGTAAAAGCGCCTGTGTGTAAAAGCGTCTGCGTGTAAAAGTGTCTGTGTGTAAAAGCGTCTGTGTGTAAAAGTCTCTGTGTGTAAACGCGTCTGTGAAAGTGTTTGTGTGTAAAAGCATCTGCCTGTAAAAGCGCCTGTGTATAAAAGCGTCTGCGTGTAAAAGTTTCTGTGTGTAAAAGCGTCTGTGTGTAAAAGTCTCTGTGTGTAAACGCGTCTGTGAAAGTGTTTGTGTGTAAAAGCGTCTGTGTGTAAAGGAGTCTGTGTGTAAAAGCTTCTGTGTGTAACAGCTTCGTCTGTGTGTGAAAGTTCTGTGTGTAACAGCTTCTGTGTGTGAAAGTGTGTGTGTCTAAAAACATCTGCGTGTAAAAGCGTCTGTGTGTAAAAGCCTATGCGTGTAAAAGTGTCTAGTGTCTGTGTGTAAAGGCGTCTGTGTGTAAAAGCCTATGTGTGTAAAAGTGTCTAGTGTCTGCGTGTAAAACCTTCTGTGTGTAAAAGCTTCTGTGTGGAAAAGCGTCTGTGTGTAAACGCTTCTGTGTGTAAAGCGTCTGTGTGTAAATGCGTCTGTGTGTAAAAGCGTCTGTGTGCAAAAGCGTCTGCGTGTGAAAAACAATACGAAGGATAGGATGCAAACCAGTGTTTTGTACTTGTAATATATTGTCTTGATACTACTTGTCTCGCCTGCCTAAAATACATCTTTAATATATTGTCTTGCAATATAGTGTCTCAATACTAACAACAGAAGACCCTGCTCTCTCTCTCTCTCTCCCTCTTTCTCTCTCTCTCTCTCTCTCCCTCTCTCTCTCTCTCTATCTCTCTCTCTCTCTCTCTCTCTCTCTCTCTCCCTCTCTCTCTATCTATGTCTCTCTGTGGTTGCAAGACACGTGTCATATGATGCCCTTTACCAAGCAGCACAGTGCATATGCATGGGTTGTCACATGTATCCTCTTCTTAATCAATCTTTTCACAACTTACCCCTCCATAGCTCATATAAAATTCACCAACCTATCACCGACTATTTTTTACGACTACCATACTCAGAGCTGCTTGAAACACATCTTTTTCGCTCTCGGGCCAACCGTCGTCTAGTTAATATAGTAGCTCATCGACTTTATTTGTGATGAAAAACAGTGATTTATTTTCTCCATGTTCAGGTCCTGCTGCTCAGCCGTGACTTAGCTCTTTGATCTTTTTCTTGAACGGATGCGTTCGCAGTCATGTGCAGCTGATCAGCTGGGGGTTGGGAAGATCTAGTCCCGGGGCGACCAACCGGTCGGGTAGATCCATCCCGGTCTTGGTGGTTCCCCCCTCCCCCCATCGGGCGATCCACGATGAGGCTACTGGTTGATAGGTCTGGGTAAGCCTTCCTTACATAGGTTAGGATCCTAACCTGTAGGGTTGTAGGTTTGTTCCCGGGTTATCCTCGATGATGTTAATTAGTCCGTTCCCCTGTAACCCATGTTAGGTAGATCCCACCTAATTTTTGGGTTACCCAGGATGGTGAGATCCCCACCGTCCTGGCAGGGTTTTCAGAGTAGGACGATCTGTCCTTTTATTCTACAGATCCTTTCATTTGATCCAGTCCAACCCGATCGGGGTGGATGATAGCTAGATCCAGCTATCGGAACGCACTGCAGGCGAGATCCTCAGCCAGCGGTGCATGGGTCCTGATTTCAGTTCGCTCCAGGCCCTCAGCGCTTAGGGATCAAGCGTGCTAGCTCGAGCGTCATGGACCGTTCCATTTCTAGGTTTTTAGGTCTCCCAATTTTTGATGATCAGTTTAGGTCTGTTTTGAGAGATCTGAAGATGGATCATGTAGAGTTCTGGCTAGCCATGTCGGATGATGATTTCGAATCGGCTGATGAGAAGTTTTCTTCGTTTTTGCCAGCTCTTACTGATGACCAAGAGATCTTGGACAAGATCCTTGTCAGATTGGAGATGGTCAACCTTTTGGCCGACATGGTGGCGCGCTCGTCCAGCAGGGTCCAAGCGGAGATCGCTTCGGATCTTGGATACGGATCAGCCGAGCCACTCAGAGTCGGATTCAAGAGGGCGGCAAGCCAGGTGATCGTGGCTGTGCAGCCCCCGGGCTCTGTAGGCGTGTTGCCAGCAGGCCATGGATCAGCGGCTCAAGTGTCCTCGATCCAGGACGCCGAGAACACAGAGAAGAAGAAGTGGGGCAGGCGTTTGTCACAGATCTGTGACAGGGCCGGCAGTGCAGCAGGGATCAACGACCCCGCTCAGTGCATCGGCCTCGCCCCCGCTGAAGCCGCTCGGCTCCGGGCGCTGGCGTTCGAGGCTGGGGGCTTCAGGACGATCAGACAAAATGTCAGAAACTGGGAAAAGTTTGAGGAGTGGTCGGCCGGAAGAGGCCTCCGTGTTTACCCCCCAACGATCGTGGCCGTGATGTCGTATTCACAGCACCTCCGCGATCAGGGGTGTGGCCCAGCAGTACTGCCATCTTTCAAATACGCCGTGGGCTGGATCTGCAAGCGGTTGGCCATGTCTTGCCCAGAAATGGGCGACGCTCGCCTTAAGGCTCTGATTGACACAGTTCATGCAGAACGTGGCAAAGAGCTCAAGGAGGCCATTCCGCTACCACCGAAGCTCGTGATAGCGCTGGAGGTCATGCTGCCCAAGCTCATCTTCGAGAAGAAGAATGCAGCGGCGATCACAGTCTGGTGGGTTTTGATTTTGATCTACGCGTCGCTGAGATTTGACGATGGGGTGCACGTGGCGCCCTCCTCTCTCGAGATGACCCCAGAAGCTCTTCTTGGAGTGGTTTGGCAAACAAAGGTCGAAAGGAAGAGGAGGGGCACTAGATTTGCTGTGCCGACCTGTTCCATCTCTGGAGTAGAATGGCTCGCAATGGGATGGGACTTGTTCAAGCCGCACATCTCGGATCGAGACTATTTTGTATGGGAGCTCAAGTCCGAGAAGGAGTTCAACGAAGCTCCGGTGACCTATTCTCGCGGCCTCCCGTGGCTCAAGGCATTTATGCTGAGGGGAATCAACGAAGCTCGCATTCTCAAGTTGGTGGAGGTCAATGAGATGGATGAACTCGAGAAGGCGGTCAGGGAGGTCACCTGGCACTCAATGCGTGTGACAATGCTCTCTGAGGCGGTGAAGGCTCAGGTGGACGACAAGATTGTGGGCCTACAGGCCAACTGGAAAGATCCCAGCCAGTTGGTTTTGAAGTACGCTCGCCAGCGCAAGGAGCTGTCGGTCGCCATGGTCAAGAACATGACAGAGAAGCTCAGGCAATCATGGGTGCCGGATCAGACCCAGTTCGTTGTGGAGGAAGAAGACGAAGAGGTGACAGAACCGATCGTGCCTGAGTTCATTGTAAAAAGTTCTTTGCCAGCTAGTGCTTTGAGTTCGTCGGATCTTAGATGCCACATTTTTGACCGTAGGGTCCACGAAGACACATCGGTCTGTGGTCGACTGAAGCTGCAGGATGCAGCTTCGGTCGGTACTCAAGCCCCTGGCATGATCTGCCAGCTGTGCAAAAGAACAAGGCGGGCATTTGATCGTTTACTATGCCTATCGCCGTAAAAGTTGGCTCAGTGTTTGCACGAGTTCACGTCTCCTCTCTCCCTTTTATTTTCCTCCCCCTCAATTGATTTAATTTTGATTTTTTTTTTATATTTGACAGATATACATTTTTCCAGTTTGGCGCAGAGTGATCCTGCCACATCAGCATTAGATCAGTCAGAGTGGTTTTTACTTCAAGTTGCCCAGATCTGCGGCTCAATCCAGTAGTTTCAGCACAGTGGCAACATGGTCGATCGGACCGTGTATGCGGATGAGGCTCACACTCCAAAGATTGCTCTGCGGCAAATTTTCGGCCGCCTCAGCCTGCGCACTGAATTGTGTCGGGCAGCTGCAGACAGTGGGCTCTTATCCGTGGAAGTTTTTGCCATGCTCGGCGACGCGGCGGCAGCTGTGAAGAACGCGCTCCGGACAGTGATTCCCACAACAGCGCTCGGTGCCAATGCAGCCGAACAAGAGCTCGCCTTGATGCAGCTCGCAGCAGTGTGGCACTCGTGCCATGCGCTCCAAGGGCAGTTCGCCACTAGGCGGGCTCGCATGGAAGAAGACCCCAACAAGGTCCCGGAAATGGCCCAAGAGGATCATGCTGAGTTCAGAGCTCGTTTTGTCACCGCTCACCCTGATGTGATCCTCCTGGATGCCAAGGAGCCTCACAAGAAGTTCGTAGAGAAGGTCAGCCGTGACTTTTTGGTGCATGGCATGGTTCCCTACTACGAGGTCTCTGAGATCCGGACGAGGGCTGACAGCATCGTTCAGAAGACCGGGCTCACCAAGAATGCTGAAGATCTCCTCACGGTCTCAAAAGCAGATGAACCAGATCAAGTGACGGATGTGCAGACGCTGCTCCACCGCGTCCATGCTCTCTTTATGGCTATGGAGTACCTGAATATCTGCACGTACTCCAGGGCAGCGGGTCCGCTCAAGTACCTGCAGGAGCTGGAACAGTTCAAGGCGGACTGCCCCGGCCTGCCATATCTTGTGGCGGCCGATGCGTTGATCCGCAAAAAGGTCCACCGCCTCCAGTCAGAGCAGCGGGAGACCTACACCACGTTCGAGGCCGCTTTGGCCGAGGTGCTCAACAACCACAAATACCTGTGGAATGACGCTCGCACCAAGGCAGTTCTCGCCAAGGTGGACCGTGCTCGGACCGTCACCAAAGATGAGCAAGACCGGGTGCTGGAGAGCCCGGTCAAAACAGCGGCTCCCTCTAGCCGACGGCGCAAGAAGCGCCACAACAAGGAGGTCGCCAAAGCCACCTCCACCTCGGAGGTCAAACCAGTTCTGAAAGAGGCCTTCAACAAGAAGCAGGATAAGGGGGCCAAGCCGGACAAGGACAAGAGGATCCCTGACTCCGAGTGGAAGCTCATCTCCCAGGCGGCCAGTTCGGTCTCCGGACAGAAGCGCTGCCACTATTTCAATTCTTCCATGGGCTGCGCTCTGGCCGACAAGTGCCGGTTCAAGCACATGTGCATGGTTTGTGGTGCGTCCCACCCGATGGTGGGCAACCACTGAAAAGATGTGGCCAGCTCGGCCCTGGAAGATCAGGGGGAAACGAATGATGAGCTGCCGGCTCCGACAGTTTCCCAAGCAAGCTTTTGGGGCTCTATGCAAATCCCTTCGGGCTCATTTTTCCTGGAAATTTTTGCCGGCAAAGCGGGGCTCTCACAAGCAATCAGCGCTCGTGGCATACCCATTTTGCCGCCCATAGAGATCGAAGCGGGCGATTTTGTTCAGCAATCAGTCGACGTGCTCGACCCGGCAGTTCAAGCACACCTTCGACTGTTGATCGAAGCCAAAGTTATTTTCTACATTCATTTTGGCACGCCATGTTCAAGCTTCAGCATTGCTCGTAAGAACGATGGCGGCCCACCGCCACTGCGGGATCGACACCACCTGTGGGGGCTGCCTGGGCTCCGCCCTCAAGATCAACGGAAAGTCACCATGGGAACAGAGTTCATGTTCTTCACACAGCAGATGGCTACGCTGTGCCACAAGCTCGGCGTCCTGTGGTCGGTGGAAAACCCTGCCTCTTCTTTTATTTGGGTCATGCCACCAATTTTGGACCTTGCTCAGCTGCCCACCGTGCAGAAGATCACGTTGGACATGTGCCGGTTTGGCTCCGTGCACAAAAAGCCGACATCGATCATGGCAGCAATGGATCTGCACGAGCTCGCAAGATCATGCGATATGGTCGCTCGGCCTCATGAACATGAACCGTTGGTGGGCATGGTCACCATCAACGGCCAGAAGGTTTTCCGTACAAAGTTGGCACAGGTCTACCCCGCGGAGCTCTGTGATGCCTGGGCCGCTGTGGTCGCAGCAGTGCGATCTCACGATCCCCTGGCTGCCACTTTTGAGCTGGTCACGCCTGCCTCAGGTCGCAAGAGGCCGGTCGGCCAACCAGCTCCATGGAAGTCACACAAGCAGAGGGCATCGGCCGAAAAGGCCACAGCCGCTGGCTACCAGCTCAAGCGGTCAGCTCTCCCACCGCTGTTGAATGTGGAAATGGAGCCGGGTCAAGCAGTGGCAGCAGCTCTTTCAGTTGCTCACCCCTTCACCTTGGATCCGGCGCTTGACCCGGATCTGCAAGAAGCTCTGGCTATGGTCGTTCGCCAGCCACAGTTCGTCCTGGGCCACCGAGCGGGGGCGGTGCAGCGTTGGGAGCAGAGGGCCTACGCGCTCCTCCCGACAACTGATGCCGTTTTGCAACAAGTTCAAGATCCTTTTCTTCGTCGACTGCTCCGTGGGCAGCCAGACGATCAACCACTGCAGTTGGGCTCCTGCACTCATGTGGCATTGTGGGAGGAGCTCACTACGGCCGCATCTTGCGTGGATCGAGCTCTTTTGTTTGATTTGCTGCATGGTTTTTCTATTGTAGGCCCCATTCAGCGGTCTGGAAGATGGGGCCTTCTACAAGCTCCTGACGAACCTCTTTCAATGGGCGAGTTGCGCTCGCGGGCCTGGGAATTCTCGCAAAAGGTCATCAAGAATGTGATGCGCTGTGAGATCACTGAGCACACTGCCAAGGTCTGGGATGCAACAATGGAGGATGTGAAGGAAGGGTCTACGCTCGGCCCCTTTTTCTCTGAACAAGATGTTTCCAAGTTCCTTGGCACCAAAGAGTGGATCCCTACACAACGTTTTGAGGTCGTCCAGAAGAATAAGGTCAGGGGAGTGGATAGCGCTACGGTCAATGGCGTGAATGTTGCCACTACCATCACGGAGAAGCTCGAGCTCCCTTCAACCGATGTCAACGTAGCGGCTCTGCGATGGTTGCGATCTCACCTCCCGGAAAGGGCTGAAGTCCTAGGATGGGTGCTCGATGAGCGGAAAGCTTATCGCCAGATCGCGGTGAAGCCTGATCAGAGGAGGTGGAGCGTGATCACCATGAGGGAGCCGAAGGAGGGCAAGATCGCCTTTTTCGTAATGTTAGGTCACTCTTTTGGTTTGGTCTCTGCAGTTTACAACTACAACCGTAGGTCTGCTGCCATTACAGACATTCTTCGTAGGGTCTTCTTTGTGGCTGCCTTTAATTTCTATGACGACAAATACGGGTTCGAACCTGCCGCTACGTGCTCCTCTGCTTTCGATATTGCTCAGAAGGTTCATTGGTGGCTCGGAGCCCAGTTCGATCAGAAGAAGTTGCAGCTGTGCAAAGACCCCACGATCCTAGGGGTGACATACGATTTGGTCAGTATGGAGCTCAAGATCAAACAGTCCAGGAAGATCGAGCTCTTAGATGAGATCTCGTCCATTTTGTCATCGCAGGTCTTTCCTCCTGGTCAAGCTGGCAAACTGAGAGGGAAGCTAATGTTTGGCTCTTCTCAGCTATGGGGGAAGATAGGTCGGGCTTTTCTGCGCGCTCTGTCGGAAAGGCAATATACGAAGCTGAACCAATCTCATTTGAGCCAGGCGATCGTGCTTGCTCTCAAACAGTGGAAATGGCTCATTGAAGAAGGACCGCCTAGACCCATCTCTGTATCTAGGCCAAGGTCTTCTGATTTTGTTATCTTCACTGACGGAAGCTTTCCTGACGGCAAGCCAGGGTCGCCATCGAAGCCGTGGATCGGTGGCGTGCTTTTTGCAAAGGGCGAAGTTCCTATCCAGTTTGGTTGCGAAGTTCAACAGCAGCTCGTGGACAAGTGGCTCCCACGAAAATCACAGATCGCCATGGTCGAGCTCTTTGCGACCGTTGTAGCTCTCAAGACCTTTGAAACTCGCATTGCAGGCTCATGGTCACTGCTGCTGGTAGATTCCGAACCTGTTCAAGGCGCGTTGGTCAAAGGTTATTCATCCCGTGAAGATCTTTGTGAATTAGTAGGAGTATTTTGGAATTTAGCTCTTGAATTAAAAATCAATCTGTACATTGATAGAGTTCCGACGGACGCCAATCCGGCCGATCCACCGTCACGCGATAACATGTCTGTTGGAACCAATCTAGGATGGATTACTGTAGATCCTATTTTTCCATCTCTCTGAGCAGCGTGGGTCAAATCGATTCAGCATTTGTTCTCAGGGGATTCGGCAGGGACTGATCCAGTCTCAGCTCCATTTTGCTTTTGTGATCTGAAGTTAATGCTGACAGATCAGTCAGTTCACAGATCGTTATGATTTCGATAGGATCCCCTCTTGCTACCCACGTCTCTCAAGAGGGAAAGCAGTCCGCTGCAGGTGAGTGGTGAGGGCATGTGATCACATGCACGTTCACGAGAACATAAATTGGTTCACATATCTTCGGTCTGGTTTGGTTGGGATATGTGGGTCAATTTCAGTTCTCTGCCACCATCAGCTGCTCTGTCGATCGCATCACTTCATGCATGGTGTTCACCATGATTTGATCAATTGGATGTTCTTATTTGAATTTTTATTTATTATTTGATCAGCAGTGGATGCCAAATGGAAGATCTCTCGATCTTGCCATTTTGGCTCAAGATCTATTTCCTGAGTGCGAAAAGCTCCCATCCCACCCACCCTGGTTTTTCCGGGGTGGGTCCATCGACCCTGTTTTCAGCTGCGCCTTCTGCTCGCGACGATTTTCACGATAGTTCGGCGAGTGCATGAAGTCGGATTGATAGATTTTCTTCCGTTTGCGCCTACTGCTCTTGGCGATTCACCGAGACGGGTTCGATGAGTGGGTCAAATCGATTCAGCATTTGTTCTCAGGGGATTCGGCAGGGACTGATCCAGTCTCAGCTCCATTTTGCTTTTGTGATCTGAAGTTAATGCTGACAGATCAGTCAGTTCACAGATCGTTATGATTTCGATAGGATCCCCTCTTGCTACCCACGTCTCTCAAGAGGGAAAACAGTCCGCTGCAGGTGAGTGGTGAGGGCATGTGATCACATGCACGTTCACGAGAACATAAATTGGGACAGTAATTATATGGACAGTAACAAAAACAAATAGCAGCATCGAGATGCATCAAGGATTGGAGGCAAACGAGCAGATTTGTGGAAGTGAAACTGCATCAAGCGGGTACGATGGGTAAGAGCAGACGTCTATGAATGCAAGGGGCACCTTATGGTAAGCTGTAAGATCAATGTGACACGAACCGCTCGATTGGGCTTGAACATCATTGACGACCTAGAGTGCTTCCGGTCAGGCTAATGTGAGAGGCTGTCCTTTCTGCCAGCACTGCCAAGTGGGTGATTCTGGTTGAAGGACAACTAAAATCAACCAATGGTTGATAAATGTTGATAAGTTGACATCCTTCAGTTCCATTTGGCTACACTGTGTTACACTCACTGTATATGAGCGATCTCGTGATCTCAGACCAGTTTTGTTGTCTTGGTTGAGCAGGTTGGAGAAAGAGGAACTGAAGGTTGAAACCGTTCAAACCTGCCACAGGGTGTCGAATTTGCTTCATGATGACGAATTGGCACCCAGGAGTTTGGGATTTCACCAAGGGGGTGGTAAAGCTAGAACCGCTTTACTTTACTTGTTCATATGATTTATATTTAATTTCTTTGAAAATTCTGTTTGAAGCCAAAGCTGCTTCTAAATCCTGGGATCGTGTGCAGTAGAGATGAGAAAGAGATCTGGTGCTCAAGAAACTCTGCGCTTTTTCATTTTTTCCAGTTGGAAGTCATACCCCTTGGAATCTAGAATGATGTTGTAGATACTCATTTTGAAATCTCTGCAGCTTGGTGCATGGCTCAAACGGACTTGGGCACCAAAGAACACATGATGATCATATGTGCCATGGTCAAAACATAGGTTGTTTTCCTATATTGCGGGAGGGTCATCCGTTCACTAGCCGGGATTTATATACCCATCATAATCATAAGTATCCCCATATGAGATGGATGACCATAAACCATATAACATGTTTTGACCATGATGATCTATGTGCATTTGGTTGAGAAGTTACATGCAAGGCCTTTTGCAAAACAAGATCAGAGAAGTTAGAGAAGCACTCATTGACTGACATATCTTCAGAAGTCTGAGATGTTTTGGCACAACAGTGGCCACATGGCTTTTCAAGGTGTATAGATTCGCGCTTACTACAAGGCTGGCGTTGGGAATTGAAGTGGGGCTGCAGGATTTTCAGTTGCAGGTCTTCTCAGTCTGCAACCATCATTCTTGGCATACATTGGCATATGCAGTATTCGGAAACTGTTGTTTGACACGCAACTGAGGACAATATACATTTCCAAACTTGCTGCCTAAAAACAAGACTGAGATGAATGAAGCCTCCCCAAATCCAAAGCTTGAAAGCAACTTCAAACATGTTCATACGGTTTCGACATACAGACAGGTTGCAGATGGTTGCAGTATGAGGTGTAAACATTCTTGTGGATGCGGTTGCACATGATATTATACGTAATATATATACGTATATATATATATATGTAATGATATGATGCGGTTGGCCAATATCGTTCCTTCAAGTGTGCACCAGGAGAAGCCATGGACAGCACCAGGCGAAGTTTTGAAACCTCAAGGTGCAACCTGAGAAATATGCCATGAATCGCTATGAAATCTATGAATGTGTATGGGTCAAAATCTGAAACCCAGAGACCATCAGAGACCAATGATGTTGTTCTTTTTAGCCACACACCCCATTTTGGAAACCCAATTTTGACCAACCCCCCATGGCCTCCTTTAAGGATCTTTAAGGTCTAACGGAAAAAATGATCAGGAAACACAAGCAAACATGCTGACAAGGCATCAGGAAGCAAAGGAACATGTTTCAAATTTCTCAAATCGATGCCTTTTGTAAATGAGTTACTGGATGAACATTTTTGACTGAAGGTGTGGTCTGTTTTACTTGTATGCATCAGTGCATGTTTTACTCTGTGTAATGCGGGAATTGTTGCTGTTTCTTTCTTTGTTCTTTTGCGTCACCGCTGGACCTTTTTCAATCTGTTTTGTTGATTCGCCTACAGCAGAAACACTGGTGTGCCGCGTTTGATTTCCACCAGCGTCATTGTTGTATATTGTTGTGCTCCTTGCGTTTATGCACACAGAAAAGAAGGACACTGTTTTACGTGCGAACCACTATGGCAAATTCCTATCTTCAACAATTCCAGCAGACGTGAATCACACCTTGTTTGCCCAACGAATGGCCAATGGTTGGCTGTGGGGATCAGACATACTGTGACATACTACATAACATTCTGTACGTTCTGTGTTGGCGGTTTTCCGAGGTGCAGATCAGTGGTGGCCGGATTGGGCCCTCTCGCTCATAGCATGTTGTCGTTGATTTGCAGAAGGAAACTGGGAATAAAACCAGCGCAGTCTGTTCAGCCAATGCAAGAGGCTGAGTCTCCAAAGGCAAACAGGGCACGCCTGGTGGGCACGTCACAGACATCTCCAGACAGCTGCAGTGTAATACCGACTTGAACGAGCCACTGTGTCAGAGTTGCGGGTTCTAGCAGTGGCGACATTTCAAGATGCCTTGCTTAACAATGCTACAAAGATATACCAAAGATATACAAAGATCACCAAGCCCACTGGCATGGCTTCCAAGTGCCAGGTGGAGTCCAGGTAGAAAATATACAAGGCCATTGCCTTACCTTTGGATTGGACAACATGTCTCTCCCAGACTTGAGCCAGAGGTGCCGCGTTTGCGGTGCAAAAGTCTAGGTGCATCAAGGTCAATTGCGTGGCACTTGAAGCTGTGTCAGGAAACCATAGTACAACTCTCAGTCGCAAGAGTCAGAAGTGCAATTCTCAAAGAATATCAGAGCAGATTTCAGTAACGACGACCTGGATGCGGGCAGGGCATTCGTCCTTGCGGGCACGTGTTGATAACTTAATTCCGACCATTTCTCTCTTTCCAGCTATGGCGGGTCCATGCAGAGGGCACCAAGCAGGGCTTGTGTACAAGGACAGTAAATTGGCAAATCAAATCGCACGAACATATTGATGAAGCACAACCTAAGTCGCCGCAATTCCGGTACAAGGATTCTAGCTGCATCAAGGTCAATCGCGTGGTACAGGCATCTTTGTCAAGAGGCAATGCACGAACTCTAAGTAGGAAATGTTCGTGGTACAATGCCAAATAAACATTAGAACCTGGTTCTGTTTACACCTGCACACAAGCATCGCATTCATTCCTAGGTATGTCCAGTCTCATATCGAACTGGACCAAGCCCGTGTTTGCAGCTATGCCATGCTATGCCTCTTTCCTGCAGGGTGCAAGGGGCACGTGCTAAAGGACCACAAGTACAGCTAGAGAAGGCAGCTACATTCATCTCCAAGGCCTGATGGAGGGCAAGCAAGTGCCTTGTTTGCGGTCCTCAGGTCTTAGTAATCTTAGGTCACTCTCGCAATGGAGATACCTTTGACAATATGTCCAATACGTATGTCAATTTCAAAAAGAAAAGTCGAGAGACTCAACACAAAACAGAAATCATTTCGATAGCAACCTGGATGCAGTACAGCATGTACAGCGGAATACAACACCCATGGCCTATCAAGGCCGGTGAATCATTTGAATCAAGGCCGGTCGCTTATGATTTGGCACAAGTCCGGAGGTGGCAGTGCTTCAGGATGCTTTGCTGAAGATCGATGGAAGCAGAAGCCACCTAGGGCCGTGTCCCGAAAGCTCATTGCACATGGTTGGCCATGGTTCGACATGTCACGAAAGCCAGCTTGTGCTAGCCGAAGTACCGCTTGCTTTCGCAAGGTATTGACAGGAGCTGGAATCGCCAATTGCATGAAACTTCACCGTTAACTACCCCCCCTTCCCCCCCCTAGCTTTGTCACAAGCAGTTTTGCCGTGGCTCAATCCAGCCTGGGGACATCGTCGCGTCAGCATCATCAGCATCAGCAGCATCATTGGCAGCTTCGCCGTCAGCATCATTAGCATCGTTAGACTTATTCTGAATATTCTCCACTTCTCTCGTATCTCCCCATTCTTCACACACAGTTCTTTCACCACACCTTCCTTCTCCCTTTACCCTCCCAGCTTGCTTTTGTCCCTTAGCCCTTGGCTTCAAGTTTCGCCATTTTCTCCAAACCGCCTCAAGTTGCAGGCTTGGTTTTTTGTTGGTGCCATCCCATGTTGATGTTAGACAGTTAGACATGTTCGCTGTTCGCCCATCTGTGACCTGCGATGACCTGCGAGCACGGTCCTTCAGCCAGCATTGTTGAAGCCCAGCTGTCCATGCTTCGGTTTTCACGATAGCTGTCAAGTACAAAGAGGGGAAATGCCCAAGGATGAAATGTGACGAACCGTGGCGAAACATGTGCAGAGCGGCTCCATGCCTTCGGCTCGGCATCCTTGCGAACCCTTGCGGCTTTCCCACCCTGTCCTCTCACTGGTCAGTGATGTGCTTGACATTTCGGACAAGGTCTCAGCATTGTGGTAAGGCATTTGGTAAGACATCAGTGATTGCCAAAGTTGATATGGCATTGTGAAACATGTAACTCCTCTGACTTGTTTTGGTTTTGAACATCTGCGGCCAGGAAGCAAATTGTTAACATAAGACATCATAAAAACATCATAAACTGCAATGGCCGCACCCGATTTCACAATTCCGCCCCTCTTGGCTCTGCAATGCAATGTTCCAAATCATTGGCCGCGGCAATGGTTCTACGCGTGAAAGCAAAGGACAGGTAAGAACGGTAAGATCATCAAAGTCTTTAATTCTGGCCCTGCTTCAATTTTAGCCTTCCCAAGAGAAATCACCAATTTCTACAATTATCTTTGAAGCCTTTCCAAATTCATGGTTGGTAAATAAATAGTCTCCAATGCCCACAAGTCTTCTTAAGGGAAATCCTCCCATCCACTGATGGACTGTACCAGACCTCGATGAAGGAGTTGGCGTAGGTGTCCACAGTGTCCACAGTGCCATTTCCTGTCACAAAAGGGATATCTCGCACAAGAGACTCGCAACCGTGGTTTTTAAAAAAACGCAATTCAATCATGGCAATTGCTTTCTTTGATCACAAAATTCTAAGTTTTGAAAACAAGTAGAAGATCAAGTTGCGTTGAAACTTCTATTTCAGCTTTTGAAGCCGATCGTTTCCAATCTTGTGGCCTTCCATCACAAATCAAGGGGTTAGCCACACAGCCCTGCGTTCTATACCGTATACGTATACCCCATTGTTCTTAGCAGCCTGCGGTGGGTGCTCAAATCTGGGAGCTTCCCGGAGCTCTTCGATGCAGATGGGGAACAGCAGGGACTATGGTCGTCACGGCCGTCACTG